AAAACAAATACAAATAACAAACATATGCAACCATAAACACAACAACGACAGCAATTTTAAAACGATTTTCTAATCAAAACACATTACTCCACAGCAAAGAGAGAGTCATCTCATACATTGTTTTACCAGAGCTCATGGCATATGAAAATTTAATCATGCGCAAGCCACAAAGTTTTGGTTTGCATATCCAAGTCTACCCTGTCTACATTGATGTGATTTAAATGGGTATACTGCAATTTTATGATACAGATAGAGAGAGATAGAGAATATCTTAATAACGTATTTGCCAAATAGTTGATATGCCTGATCTTAAATTAGATTATCAAAATATTTTGAAGCTTAGCTTACAGCACATGAGATCATTGTTGGCAGTTGAAAACTCGTTGCTGAATACAAAGCAGCGTCAAGTCTATCATATTTGGAAAGTGAGTAAAAACTAATTGCAATGTATATCAACAAAAATCATCGACGTCATATTGTTATCATTGTCCACTTACCCTTTACCCAATATATCCACAGACAAATGCGAAATTGTTATCTAAGAACTTTTTGATAAACTGGCATATTTATATTATATGATTGATTTTGCAAGGCTGTTGAATTCATTAAATTAGTTCAAATCAAATTATTATGTGGAAAGTTTTCTATTGCCGAAGCTGCAAAACTAACAAATATAAATATTTAACATTTTAATATTTCCATTTGGAAATTAACACATAACTAAACCAAATATTTCCTGAAATCTCTCTCTCTTGTGTCTGCAGCAATTTGAAAGCATCATTTGTTAGCCACTCAAATATATAAGCACTGTGCTGAAAATATGTAAGTACTATGTAGCTCTGAGTGTGTACGTCGATGATGCATGCACGAACGACCACAACAATTTCATTAGATGAGTAAATTATTTACAAAACAATTTGGCCAAATATAAAAGTGGGTAACATGAGCGTGAAGTGTGGCGATAAACCTCCGATGGTAGCTAAAATTATTATTCTTATTTGCTTACACTCAACTCATTAAAACCGAACGAGATGCTGAATTTGTACGTTTCAAAGAAAACGGCTGGAAGTGAAGGGGCTTCCTTTCCTTTCCTTTCAGGTATGAAACACGCAAAAAATAAATAAGGGATCTCTAGTCAATGGAGCTCAACTCTTACTGTCCATATAGACAGCTGTCGACACTAGTAATAGAAATTTACTAGTTATTTCAATGCACTGCACACACACACAAGTCAAATGCTGCGCATTTGCCGTTTTGGCTGTGATAGAAGTATTTGGAGAGATGTTCCCTCTTTTGAAAATTCAATCGTAGCTTAAAAAGCTCAATGAGTTTAAATATCTTATGTGACTATTTGCTATTTAAAAATGCAATTGAATTCTGCAGAGCTCTGATAAGAACTAAAGGAATCCTAAATCCATTGTTTATAATCAAGTTATATATTATACGCAACGATAGACAATGTACAACTCAGCTGGTCTCTAAACGACTGTATTCACTTCATGAATGTTAATCATTCATAATATTAAACTGAGCGTGACACAAATACATTTTAATATCCCAGATTCTGAATACAAACAATCTGTGAGGTCGAGGCTCGTGGCTGATGTGCATTATACCGTACATACAAGGGAGCGTGGTATAAAAATGTAAATCTCTTCGGGCCTGCCTTGAATGATTTAGATAAACCGCTTTGTCGATGCATCGAAATGTCCATTGCAGCAGTTAAACGCTCTGGAGCGTACAACGGCGTCGGATGCCACAGGCATTTGCTTTGACAACTAACTGGATGACTGCACAGATCCGCCAGCCAGCCATTCGAACACGTAGCAGCGCATACAGACACGGGGATACAGCCACAAATATGGCTGAAAATTCCAGTAGGCAGCTGGAGGACGAGTTACATTTGGCAGCCCGTCCAACAGTGCTTGCCAGGGAGCACTTCAATACGATGTCAATAAATTATGTAGTGGATTTTCAGCGAGGCACACACATTAAAGCGAAACCTGTGCTCGTGCTCTCCTCATTGTTGTTGTTCTCGCTGCTGTTGTTGCTATTGTTGTTTTGCATATGCAACATAAGTCGCCTGATTTATGTTCGTTATATGAGGACGACTCAAAAGGGAATCACATTCGAATGCTTGTGCCTTGGCAGCCTCGGTCCCAATAAATTATAGATGTCGAGCGACAAATGCAAAGAAATAAATGTAAAAAATCAAATCATATTTCTCCACATTAAAAACCCATACAACAATAATAAGAGCAATATTCCGGCCACACAGCACATTACAAGCCATAAAAAAGCGCATCAGCTCGCTGTCAGGCCATCCTGCCATCCAATATACTCCGGCCAGGCACCAGAGCGAATTCCTCGCCAAAATGCCTGCTTTTTTTTATTGGCTGCGCTCAGCGCCTCAAAGGTGCACAAATTGTAGTGGGCTTTTAAGCGCCGACGCATTTCGTCGCAAAAGAAAGAAAAGAGAGAGAGAGAGAGAGAGAGAAAAAAATGCGAAAATGTGACTCAAAGCAAATTACGCTGACAAATGAAAATGTCACAATGATGATAATTTATTTTGCCTTTGTCAATTGCCCCTCGCACCAGCTGGCACACATTCCTCCGGCATTCTAGCTTTCATCTGAAACTGCTAGACCGTACATATGCCAGCTGCTGACTGGCAGCCACTCCTCGCCCTCTCTCACTCTTTCTCTCACTGATCGGGGCCATAAGCCCTGTGCAATTAAAAGTAAGGTTGGGCAATTCCCAAACCAAACGTGGCTATGCACTTCCTTCAAGCATTTTGGGTGGTTCGTGGAAATGTTGTGTATATGTTCTTCACAGCAAAGTTTCTATGTGAGGCGAAAAGACACATTGATATTCTGAATAAATTTTATGTTCGACTAATTTGGGCAATCGCTAACAAAAAGTACGCGCGCTCTAGTCGGGAGAGCTCGACTAGAAAATACCGGGAACCTCGTTCAGTTTTCATACTACTTAGCTCATAAACCCACGCAGTTACGCGTGTAGACGCACATTAAAGGGTCTAAAGGTAAAAACTTAAGATACCAAGGAGGTCATGTGAATAATGGCAAATTTATACAACATTCGACAATTGCAATTGTTGTAATTCTATTAATTAAAAAATAAATAAATACAAATAATGTAAATAATGATAGAGTAATATCTTATTTTTTGCATAGTAACTTACTTGTTACTCAACAAAATTTAGGAATTAATCCATATATTTCAATAAATCATATAAGTTTGTTTTTAAGTTGCTTTTATTTTTTTTACTTACCTATTTATTATTATTGATTTTATGTTATACATTTAATTTTTTAAAGCTCTACTGTCCATTTTTGAGGTATGCAGGTATTTTTTATTTAAGCTTAATTTTATTAAAAGATCCCCGACGATCCAGACGATAAAGTGTTTTGAGTCTTTGTCTATTATAATGATTTTTCTGTTTTGTATTTATTTACTTTCTATTATTATTATTATTTTTTTTTTCTTTAATTTGAGCTCACGTCTGAAATCTGTAGCAAATGATAATTCAATAAACATGTTTGTTAGACTGAACGCCAAATTATAGAAAAGGCTGTAAGCAAACTTGAGCTGCACATAAAAGAACCTATATAAT